TGGGATCCCCCGTCTGCAGGACGCCGCGGGCGCCGGTCATGCACTTGCGCCACGTAGACGCCAGGGCAAATTCGACGCGCTTGATGCGCCACAGGAAGTTGAAGACCTTGAGGTACTGTCGGTTGCCCCATTCCGTAACGACGACATCCACCGGGGAGTCAATCTTGTATTCAAGCGTGAAACAGTCCCAGCCAATGTCTCCATGGGAAAGCTGGAGCATGCGGGCATCGAGGCGACGGAGGACCTCGGGGGAGTCGTACTGGGCATTCGAGCCGCGGATAGCATGCTCCAGCTGTGCGGTCAGCGTGTGACGGTACTGCGCGCCGGCAGGCCGGTCGAGGTTGGCGGCGAGGGACTCCATGAGCAGGGCGATGAAGTCGCCCTGGCCGAGAAGGATGTAATCTTTGAGAGCCTGTAGGTGCTCATAGAGGTGGAACTTGTTGGCCATGAGGTCGATGAGTCGTTTCATGGTGGTTTTGTACGCTTCGTCAATCCAGGCCTCCAGTGTCTCTGTGTCTCCGTATCGTAGCTCTTTGGATGCGTCTTTGGAATAGTTCTCCACCCACTGCGAGTCGCCGCAGCTGTGCCGGATAAAATTGAGGGACTTGCCAATGAGGAAAACTTTCTGAGCAAAGTCCTGGGTGATGATGCTGGGAATCATGCCCTTGTCAATCTCGTACTTGTCTTCCCAGACGCTGCTGGCCGCTGTCTTGGGCTCGTCGGTCTGCTTGGGCTCCTTGACGAAGAACTCGCAGTATGGGTCGAGAAGCTCACCATCGTAGATCCAGCGGCGCAGTATGTCGTAGAACGGTCTCGTAACGTGGGCGAGGAGCCTCTCTGCAAAAGCGGCCACCATGGGGTCTCCGTGCGAGGCGGAAAAGCCGTGGATCAAGGAGATCAGCTGACCGCCCCTTTTGTTCTCCGACTCTTCTGCGACGAGACTCATGAGGCGGAGGCCCATGGTGGCCTCCCTCGTCCAAACAACACACCGTTTGAGCGTCACACCGGCCTTACCGATGCCGCCCCTAGGGGCGGATTCGTCGAGCGTCGAAAGGGCACGCCGGATCTGGCCTTCGAGTGTGGCAACGAGGCTCAGATAGGCACGCAGCTCACCGCTGATGGCTGCGCGCAGGCTCTGGCGGAGAAGCCCTTTCGGCGGATGACGTGACAAAGGCGTCGAGGTTGCGATAGAGCAGTGACGGCTCGGCGAGGGTGTGCAGAAGTGAGATGATGGGAGCAGGCAAGGTAGGCGGCAGGGTGAGGGTATCTTGCTTGGGGAAGGGAAGGGCGGTGGAGGACAGTCCCTGCAGAGTGAAGGGGAGGTCGCGCAGCAGAGCCGTCTCGGAAGGCTCGATCTCGGTGTAGTTGTCTGCCAGCAGAGTCGACTTGAGGGCCACAATCCTCTTGGGGCTCTCGGCAGTGCTGTCTTCGTCGTCTGACGCAGGTCTCTTGGCGGCCTTTTGGGGCGGAAACTTCTTCAGGCCTTCTTGGGCGAATGCCTCTCTGAAGGCCTCGTCCTCCATCCTTGACACGGGCGTCGACGTCTTGGAGACGCGGTCCAAGTCAGGCCGCCTCGCTGCATCATGAGGGCTGGCGGCTCGCGGCGCGGGTGGGAGTGGGCTGAGGGGCAGAGGTTCGTTGGGGTCTGGAGAGTCGGAGAGTTGGTAGAGGAGGTAGAGAATGGCCCACTTCTGATTGAGAACGGGGAGGGATAGCAGTCGGGTATAGAGGTTGGCGAAGCGAAGGGCCTGGCTGGGGTTGCTCTGGATGAGCTTGCTTCGTATCAGCTCCGAGGCGTGATTGACGTCCGAGGCGATGGCGGGGGAGGCGGGGCTGTGTGAGGGTTCACTGGTTAGCGGGCCATAGTTAATCACGAGAGGGTCAAGGGGTGGTGTTGTTGGAAGACATCAGGCTGGAGGTGGCATTACCCAGAGATTATGGCGTTGACGAGGTCGTAACAATTGTCATATCTCTCTTGCGCAGCAGCGTCGTCTTCGTCGGGGTCGCCAGGAACGAGGTGGGTGATCAGACTATCGGCGGCGCTGGCGATGCGATGCTCGCGACTGGACATGATGACATGTTTAGTGGCAGGATGCCCAAGTCGGTGACGGAGATGACAGCTGGGGTTTTGGGGGGGGGAAGCAGCGGGATGGATTTGAGATTGAGTCAATCGAGTCAACCGAAGCGTTGCCCCGCGATGCGCTGCGCCAGACAGCTTGGTGGAGGGAGGCGCGCCTGTGGTCTGTGGTTGGCACCTGAAAGACACACCAGGGCGACGCGCTGGGGACGCGACTCGATGTTTAGGTGCCGGACTCCAGGGAGGTGCCGTGCTTCAGGGAGTTGCCGTGCGTCAGGAAGGTGCTGCTGGGGCTGGGAGCGTCAAGGGACGACTGCCCGCCCAGAACGTTGTCCACAGGCGAGGCCAAGGGCATGCATGTATCATGTACCTCTGTCGTCGTGCGTGCACGTCCCCAGTGCAATGTACCTTTGTCCACGCGGAAGGCCCCCAAGCCCCTCCTACCTACCTACCTACCTAGGTGCCTATCTGGTCGTGTCGCCCAAGCCGTGCGTCGGCTTCGCTCAAGCCGTGGGCTCTGCAATTGGAAGCTCGGACAAAATTCCAACGACATGCCAAAGCCATCGCATCTTCTCTACGTCAACCCTCGCCTTCCGTCGCCATCAACTCCACGACCACATAACACCATTTCCATCCGTCTGAACCGCTGCCCATGATCGCTTCACTTCCCTCTGTCGAACAGTGCGGCCCATGACACTATTTCAGCGGCGCGCTGTGCTCACTGGCCGCACGCGACTCGACTGCCGACCCCCAGCACCGCCCCTAGCCTCGACACTGCATCCTCGACCATTGCCGCGCGCCCTCGCTCTGTAGAGCAACAACGAGCCGTCGCCTCTCCATCTCCGTCCTTCGAAACCGACATTGAACCCCCCCCCCCCCCCTCATCACTTCTTTCCAAGGGCCATCGCGCGGCCTTTTCGCTGCCATGCCCGAAAATTGACCCCCGCGGCTCTGAACCGCCCCCGCCATCGGCCTTGACCACCCCCGTCCTCTTCAAAAAGGCCATTCACGTCTCGGGCCCCGGGGGCCTCAAGACCTGCAAGATGAGTCAGACCAATTCCCGCCCCGCATCGATCTCGAACCCGTTATACACAGCCCTCAAGCAGGACATCGGCGCCGAGCACTGGGCCATCTACAAGGAGTCCCTGACCCAGTTCCTCATCGGCCGCCTCAACCAGGCCGAGTACGCCGAGCGCATCGACCCCCTTCTCGAATCGCCCGGCGGCGAGAGGGAGCACCTACACAACCAGCTCGTCGCCGCCATCTACGGCAATGTCACGAGAGAGATGCCCGACCAGGGGCTCGCCCCCTGGGTCAGCGCCAACGACAAGCCCGCCACGAATACCGGCAGCAAACCCGTGTCGGGCGATGCCGCCGAGCGGCGGTTGAAGGGCGAGGTCATGCAGCTGCCGGCGCGGGACCGAAGGCGTATCAAAGATCTCGTGCAGAACGAGGTAAGACCACCCTGCATATGCTTCTTGCCTTGCTGTGCACCATGTCTGCCCCCGGCACACTATGCTGATATTTGCGCTCCGCAGTTTGACCCCTACGACATACTCTCCAATGTCTTTACAGAATCATA